GGCAAGGACTTTAACATTGAGTAAGGTGGAGATCAGGTAAAACTGCAGCATAAAAAGCTAAAAGCTTGACCTCTTACAGATACACTGCCGTGTCCTACCTAAGGACCCCTGCATCTACTTGTCATCACTAAATCTATTTATGATCACAGAAAAGACACTTGCGGTCCATGCAAATGGACGTCCGACTGGAGGATGTAGGGGCAAGTGTGGGTTAAAGCAAGTCAGCAAAACGAGCACTGCCCAGGGCCGCTGGCACTGTGGGATGGTGCCCCGCTAGGGACAGGGTGTAGCCCGGTGTAGCTTGCTGCTGCTGGCTGTAGGATCCCCTTAGGGAGCAGCCCCGCTGCTGACAGCAGCCCCCTGTCAGCATTCCCAACCTGGAGAACTGGAACCCCCTCTCATCTTCAGATCAGTAGGATGCTGCAAGAAGGGTGAGGTTACTAAAACGAAGACTACCTTAGCTATAAAAGCTCTTCCTGGATTTCTCTTTGAAGTTTTTGGCAATCTTAGACTTCGAAGGGCAGGCCTGCACAGTTAAAGTTTGAGAAACACCTGCCTAACACGCAGGTCCTACAGCTCTTTATACATATGCTTGGCTACTATTACTAAGTGCATGCAGAAAGGATGTGTGGGCCTGGTACCTGGAACGTTTCTCTTCTGAACTCGGAGCCCCAGCACCTGGAGATGAAACCATTAGCAGTCAAATGCTCAGGATTTCTGAGAAAGCAAAACTACTCAAATCAGCAACAACGCAGTCCGCAGGCATCCCAGTGCAGCTGATTTGCAGAGACTGCGCTGTGCAGCCCTGGCAGCCAGAACCAACTGATGCAGCTCGGAACCTTCATCTTGGCTGAACTGAGCTGCCAAGACCACAAGGAGAGCGCTTGGTCCCATGCATAAATGGGCCTTCACCTGATGACCAGAGTGACTGCATTTGTGTGGGCAGCAGACTCAGGGCCTAAGGTATGTTTTGAGTAGTACAGGGGGAGGGAAATGTGGTTTGTTTGTTTGTTTTAAAATAGAAATATATATTTATATATGGTAATTTTTTTCTTCACTTCTGAGAAGTGAAGACAAAAAGATCTAAGGCTGCCTTCTGTTCAGGCCAGTACAGTGCCTGAGTGGAAAATTTCACTCCCTAGTTTCAGTAAGATGCAACTTAGGCTGGTTCTTGTAAATAGTTGGAAAAGGAAAGTTACTGCAGCAGAGCTCTGTAATCAAGAGGTCTCCATGGACAGCCTGTCATCCTGATGAGAGACACTTCTTGATTAAGCAAAGATGCTGCACTGTAGCTGAAACAATTCCCAAGTGTCCCAGCTTCCCGCATCGTATCAATGAGTCTGCAGTTACAGAGCTCCCAACAACAAGCGGTTTTAGAGGATTTCAGATGAATTGTAAATCTAAAAGTTCAACACTCGAGCATGTGCAGCATGCAGAGAACACATTTCCAAATGTGTTTGAAGAGCAGTAATTCAGATTTGTACCACTGCAAACATCTCTGAAAGGCAGAATGCAGGTAGCATCCCAAGTATTGCCGGGAGGCCTGAGATCCACGCACTTCTGTGAAAAGCTCAACTTTACTTGCGGGCAAATCAATCAAGAAGCAGCCCTTGCAGCTAAGCTTAACTGGTTTCCTGTTTGAGCACCTCAGTCACACTGATTTCATGATTAAACTTGTTCTAATTAATGGGAAAACCAGAAAGAATCCATGTTCAAAATACTGGACAAACTGTATAAGCTAATGAGGGAGGACACCAGTGTTTGTGAAGCAGTTGGTAGTGAGAGCCTAGAGGAGAAAAGGAAAAGAGCTGCCTGCAGATAAGCACTAAATTCAAGCACAGGAGCAAAATGAAGGGGAACACGCTGGTGTCCTTCAACACATCAAGCGGCAACACAGAAATGCTGCATGAATATTGATCATCTTACTCAGCTGATTGGTACCCTTAGGTTATGCCTACACCAGTGTGTAATATTGCCCCAGGGAGTGAACCTGGGTGCTCAGTCCCTGGTCATCTGTTCTGCATAACGTATTAGTGTACTATATTCTACACTATATTCTGGAGTCAGATTGTTTGCAACAGTCCATATCCAGTAGATCTAGTTGCTCCTGAAGGAGCACCAGCTGAACAAGGCTGTCCACCAGGGTACCCTGCAGGAGCTACATGTTTAGGAGGAGACCAGAGCACAGGCCCACCGAAACCAACACATGCTCTGGGCCATGTCTAGCTAGATGGCAACCTGGCATTTTTGGAACATGAAAGCCAGATCTCCTCAAAATCACACAGCAGAGTTACAGGCAAGTCTTCACAGCATTTTTGGTTGCCTTTCCTAGAAAGAGGCTGGTCCCAAAATGGCCCTCTGCCCACTCTTCCTGTACCTTGATGCATGACTAAGAGATAATATGAAAAGTGTAGGACAAGAAGTCCTCAGACATTGCTTCCTACCCCCCTTTTCCCAAAGGTAAAGAAACTATGTATTAAGCTGAATTGTACGCTGTGGGCTTTGAACTAGGGAGTTTGTAGTGACTGAGAGCGTGAAGTGCTCTGGCTTGTCACGTCAAGAGGGAACAGGGGCGTGCGCTGCCTAGCAGCAGTGTCTGTATGAAGACTCACTGGGTGCAGCTAATGCCCATCAGCAGGTTCTCCGTGTGCCTAGTTTGAAACATAAACAGAAGCCACCTTAGAGCAAGAGAGTGGTAAGGAGTTCACCTGGGCTAACACTACTCAGCTTCTGTGCCCCTGGCACCTTCTACTGTGCAGGTGTAACCATCCTGTTCATTGCCTTGCTTTGCTCCTTCCACAAACATACACGATAGGCTGATATTCCAGCTCCGAGGCAAGAGACATGTTTTCAGCCAGTTTATGGGGGAGAACTACCATTCAGAATAAACACATATTTTGGTAACGACACGTGCAGCGAGGGCACCACAGAAATGTATTGTAGTTTCGATCGTATTGTGGCAATGGGGGTATGTGTGTTCCTGGTGGTGCTGGGGGAACGCAGAAACAGTAGAGGCTTTTCCAGGTCTAGTGCTCTTTAGAAACATTAAAGAAAAAGAAAAGTACAAACATCTTAAACAGTGTGTTGCTTGGGAACTAACAGCAATACTGGACACGTTACTTGTTACCTTTTTGGCCTGGCCATTCTCCGACACCAAGGCTTTCAGTGGTACGTACCCTACTGCTTGTGAGGCTGTGGTCTAGACTGGTCTAATGCAGTTTAAAACGAACTCTTCTCCAAAGTCTGACATTTAAAAAACATGGATCATCTTATAGATCTTAGGGCACGGCTATGTGAACAGTTACTCAGCACAGCTCTATTAATTCAGGCTCTAGGGGGCAAGGTGGGAGTGAAACCAAATGACTTCAACCAGACCTACTGCCAACGGAGCATGAAGCTGTGCCCTCTGTGATAGCAACTGGTGGCTAAGGGAGGTATGGACGTATCCTCATTACTCAGCCAGGAATTCCAGTCACATTGCGACTGTTCACAGCTTGCTTGCTTCCTTGGGATCCTGTGCTCTTCAAGCTGGGCGTTCTCTTTGCCCTGATATCCCCCATGTGGGAGCTCATCTTCACGTGAAAGCTCATGGTTAGCATTAGGTCTATACGTGGTGCTGAAAGTAAAAGTTCCACAGCACAACAGATTCGACCACTTCATTTTCTTGCCTAAAGTGCACTGTGATTTCTTCCCCTGTTTGGCTCTGTGGGCGGAACAGGCATTTCAGTATACACTGCCACGCTCATTACAGGGAGTTCTTCCGCACTAGAGATATTAACATCTTTGTTATTACTGCCAGTTCTCTCCTCCCCCGTACCAAGCGGTTGCCTGGGCTAGAATTCCGTTTAAGGACAGACTCCCGGTAGTACTATTCTCCTCCTCAAAGTGAAGAACATCTCTTCAGAGGTCAGTGCCTTCTGCTTTCTCCAAATTCTGCCTCCCCCGTATTCCTTAGAAAGTCATTATAAAAGATGTCAAAACCAAGCACAAAAATATCACAGAGATTCTAGAAATGTCATAATTACCTCTTTGTAATCATTAACAACTCAAAACCACAGCATTTGAGTTAAAAAGATTTATGCAAGAAAGATTTTTGAACATTAAATATAAAATCAAAGTTTGACATAGCTTATTTTTCAAACATCATCCTTCTTCTGTTCATCAACTGACAACTGTAAGATCGCAATTAAAAAAGTAATCCTAAATACTTTTAAAAGCCTTATAAAAACATTCATAAAGTGCCATCCACAAAAGCACCTAAACAGGAATCTGAGAGAAATACCCATTAGGATGTTAATGTACTTAACTGCTGCTGAGGACTAAGCTGTCAAACAGCAGCGTAACTTGTGGAACTGTCAACCTCACAACCATACAACCCAGCAAAAGTACCGTTCCGTAGACGTGGCGCAGCAGAGCATCAGCTGGGCCCACAACATGTGCGCAGAGGCACCCAGCACAGTGTTGCGGGGTTTTCCAACAAACAGACGCTAACACCAACTCAACCCACAAACACTGGCAAGTGGGTGATGTGGATTCTACGGGGAGCGATCATCCCAGGCTGTGGCCTTACCACCAGGGAAAACCTAGGCAGCTTGTGCAGAAAACAGGTATGGATTTTAGCCGTTTTTTACCGGGATAAAAATCACTCCCCACTAGAAATAACAGAAGAAGGCACTGATCCTTGGGACATCTCTACATTCTCCTCTCTGGCCACGAATGTACCATACCATATAAGCACCTTTCTTTTCCCCATCCTCAAAAGAGGGGCTCAGAACAACCACTGCACCGCAGCGAACATGCACTAGTTCGCTTGGCAGCAGCCTCCCGCTTTGCTCGAGCGTCTGGGCAGTGCTCACAGATTTACCCAGAAGAAAAGGGGACAGGCTCTGAGGGCTCCCTCCTCCAAAATTCACGCCCCATATGAGGTGTACAGGGAGCAGCTGTGTGTCTTCCCAGCACTGGCTAGCTGCCTATGGTCCACATGGTCTTCTCCTCTCCACCATCTACTCTGTATGGTGCTTCTGGTGGCGCACCAGCTGGGGCTGGAACCGAAAGCTTTCCCCACACGGGGTGCAGCGGTATCCCCAGGGTGGATGCGGGTATGCTTGATGAGGTTGGAGTTGCCACTGAAGCCCCGGCAGCACTGGCTGCATTTGTAAGGCTTCTCGCCAGTGTGGGTACGAGCGTGGTTAATGAGGTCGGAGCTCTGCCCAAAACGTTTGCCACACTGCCCACAGGCGTAAGGCCGGATGCCGTCGTGGGCTCGCTGGTGCTGGAGGAGGTGGGAGTGCTGGCTGAAGCTTTTCCCACAGGCCGGGCACTTGTAGGGCCGCTCGCCCGTGTGCATACGCTGGTGTTTGATGCACGTGGAGCTGTCGCTGAAGATCTTCCCGCACTCGCTGCACACGTAGGGTTTGAGCCCGGTGTGGATGCGCTGGTGCTTGAGCAGGTTGGAGCTCTGGCTGAAGCTCTTCCCACACTCGGCACACGTGTAGGGTTTCTGGCCCGTGTGGACCCGCCGGTGCTGGATGAGATGGGAGCTCTGGCTGAAGCCCTTGCCACACTCCCCACACAGGAACGGGCGCTCCCCGGTGTGCATTCGCTGGTGCTGGATGAGGTGAATGCTCCGACTGAAGCCCTTGCCACACTCGGAGCAGATGGTGGGCTGCTCTGCACGAGGGGCTCGCCGTGAGGCTGCTGGCACCCTTCTCTCCTGTCTTGTCACCAGGCTGATAACAGAGCAAGGCAGCTCAGCCTCCTCCTCCTCCTCACAGTCACCTTGCTGAGCCTCTGAGGAACCGTGAGGACTTCCACAGCTGTCCCCCAACTGCTCCTCTCCTCCTCTGGACCCTGCCGCCAACATGTCCTGCAGATCTGTGCTTGCAAGGTGATCTGGAATGGGACCTACCTCACCACCTGGAAAAAAAGTAGGACTTTAACTGTGATTCTCACTGGGAAGCGGCACGGCAGCGAACGGGCAAGCTCTTCTCCTAGGAAGCCTGGACTGCAGCGTGTAGGAAAAGCAGTAAAGGGCAGGACTGGGAGCAAATGGAAACCTAGCTGCAGGAGAGGCTGTACGGCCTCATCATGCGACCCAGAGCAGATGTGCCACAAACAGCAGAGCCAAGGGCAATGCCACAGGTGTCTCCCTGCACCCAAGAAACCTTCACATTTTGTCTTCTTAATATTCTGTCTTCTCATACATACTCTTAACAGCAGGCTGACAAAGGCAGGTGGTCTGCCTGCCCTGAGGGGGAAAGAGCAGCTCTCAATATGAGCCACATGAAATGTGGCTTAAATAACACCGAGGCAGCTCAAAGAACATATTGCTTGTTCTGTGTTTATAAACTTATCTAACTTATTCCTCACCCACGTGTGTCTCCTCCAAGGCCTCATGATCTTGTTCGTCTCCTTGGTCCATCAGGGAAGCTACGTCAGGTTCAGCAACCTCACAAAAGCAAAAAGTAATCTTGGTTGAATATGCAGCAAGAGCTTGTCATATAGTATGTCTTAAAATCTACTGCCCGTGGTGAATATGGGGAACAAGCAGAATGGTTGCATAAAATAATGGAATCAACTGAGCAACAAACATTTATGGACATCCTGTGCACTACTGAGGTATCTGGTGTCGGATACTTTCTCCTTCCTTCAAGGAGATTCAAGATCGCCCCTCTTCTGATAAGCGATATGCATTAGGGCATACACCAGATGTGCTGGACTCAGAACTGGTTGACAGCAATCATAGATATAGGTGTAAGCAAAGAGCAAAACCCATACTTACATTGCTTTACTAATGACAGACAAAAGACTAATTACTATCCTAAGATTACTTTAAATGGAAAATGAATCTTTAGTCACCAGGACCCAATTTTCTTCCTTGCTACCTCACCTATTCTTTCTCCTCCAACATCTAAGCAAGCAGACAAGGTAGAAGGAAGAGCTCCCTCCTGACTCCGCAAAAATATCCGAGCTCGGGTTGCCACTGACACACCGCTGCTGCGCTCAGATTTGCTACGGCAGCTCAGCAGAAAGCAGATAACCTTCAAACAACGAACAGCTAGCCTGGAGTAAGGAAAGAGTTTCCTCCTTTCCCACAATCACAGTCACGTCTCTGTGAAAGGAGGGGACTAATCCCATCAACAGGTGACGTTCCTTCAGAGACTTCATCTCTCACTGGAAGAAGCACATCCTTGGGCGTACTGGGTTATTGCTCCAACGTGGAAACCGAAGCAGCAAGAACGCCTGCGTACGTGGGTGCGGGGGGTTACTGTATGCCAACATCCACAGCTTTACTACAAGGTACGAAGGGCGTCAAATTCAGACCTCCAGCGGGGCCTTTGCAAACGCACCGCACCGCTCCTGGGGCCTCAGCTTTAGTATTGCCACAGCACATACAGACTTTGTAGCTGGGTCCTACAATTTACGTTCTTTACCTCGGCTACTTATTTTCTCCTCCAGCCACTCAGCTCCGTACTCCTCTCGCGGCGGTACCGAGCTGTGGAGGTCGCGGGATTCATCCCAGCGCGGAGCTCCATGCTTTCAGCTTCCCGCGCTGCCGGAGCGCTGCGGGTGCCCAGGGGCTCTCTGCGTGGCCATGGCACCGCACACCTGCAAGGCAGAAGGTGGCCTTGGGACCCTCCTCTCCCCAGCTGTCACCTGGCACCGACACCGCTTGCAGCGGAATCGAATACCGAGCTGTGGAGGTCGCGGGATTCATCCCAGCGCGGAGCTCCATGCTTTCAGCTTCCCGCGCTGCCGGAGCGCTGCGGGTGCCCAGGGGCTCTCTGCGTGGCCATGGCACCGCACACCTGCAAGGCAGAAGGTGGCCTTGGGACCCTCCTCTCCCCAGCTGTCACCTGGCACCGACACCGCTTGCAGCGGAATCGAAAGGTGAAGCCGTCTTTATCGCTTCAGAGCTAATTAGGCAGCCGTCTTGTCCCGGGTGTGAGGAAACCCCCCCCTCCCCGGTACCGCGGGGTCCGCTCACCCACGGCAGCGCTTGTCAGCGGGGGGCCGGGTGCGGGGCAGGTGCGGTGTAGTTTTGGGGAACGAGGGTTTTCCACAGGGCAAGGGCAGAGGCGCTGGGCGGAAACTGGGGAAAGGCTCCGCGGCAGGCGACAGGGACGGAGCGAGGGTGAAGCTGCGCTGCAGGTGAGGGGCGCCGGCAGGCGGGGGCGGC